TATTGATTTACACACCATCATTACAGTATGAGAATATTCTAAATTTGACTATGTGCTTACTTTTACAGTGAATTTATACTGGGCAGGTGTCCTCACAGAAGTATTTTTTGTGTAAGATTGTGATGGCCTTTGTGCAAGGTTTTGATTTTTGCAGAATATTTTGTGATAGTCTTGTTATTACACATTCATACATGAGAACCATCTTTTCATGGCCTTCTCAGCTCTATTTTTCAAAGTAATTAATGCATGTGACTCTATTCTGATTCTGAAAATTTCCACAGAGCTTAATTAGTTTCTTTTCATGGTGTTCATAATACCTTGATACTTCCTAACCCTTGTGTGTTTGTATTATATACATTTGAAAAAGCAGCCAGTTCCTTTGGACATTATAGGTGGTCTTTGGTGTGAAAAAAATTTCACTCTTTAGTCTAGCTTGGGATTCTGAATGGGCAACTGGTAATGACCACAGGCAGGGAGAGCTTGCTGTTAGTTCTCTAATTGGGTTGTACTTTTGTTCTGACATCAGATGGGGTCGCTAAATGGGCTCCATTTTCTGTGTGACTACTTGCTAGGAACTTCAGTTAAAGGGAACTGAGGGCTAGGCATTGCTATCATCTCTGACCAGGCAGGTTTGTAGTCTGTATTTTCCGTCCAGGCAGTACTGCTGTTTGTGTTCTTCCACTGGACAGGGCACTGGGCCCCGTGTTTAGACAGATTTGCTACTTCGGGCAGACATAAACAAAGCCTATGAGATATAGAAATGCATAACTGAAATTTGCCTGACTTCCTGGGCAGAAGCTTAAGATGAGCTCTGAGGCTGGGTCAAGTTGCTGTTATGACTTCCAGATTGGGTAGGACCAGCCCCTATGCTCTGCAGAAATGTGCAAGTTTTTGTCTGCCTGGGCAAGTTTTTATCTCTCCCTTAGTTCTAAATAATAGTTTTTATGTATAATGTATTCTTGGTTAAAAGTTTTTTCCCTTCAATACTTTGAATATATCATCCCACTCCCTCCTGGCCTGCAAGGTTTTTATGTAGATGTCAGCTGCCAGGTGTATAGCATCTCTCTTATGTTATTTGCTTATTTTCTCTTGCTGCTTTTAGGCTGCTCCCTTTGTCCTTGACCTTTGAGAGTTTGATTACACATGTGTCTTAGGGTAGTGTTAGCCCTTCAATTTTCTTTTTCTTTTTTAAGGCTGTTTTGGTTATCCTAGATCATTTACATTTCCATATGACTTTTACAATCAGTTTATTAATTTCTAGAAAGAAATTTGGTGGTTCTGATTGAAAGTGCATTAAATCTACAGATCAACCTAAAAAGAATTTACATTTTGACATTATTAAGTTTTTCAACCTGTGAACAAGAGATGACTCGCCCTTTCTAAATGTCTTTTAAAATCTTCCTCAGCAGTATTTTGTAGTACACAAGTTTGTTCATATATTTTATAACACTTATCTCTAAGCAGGACATATTTTTATCTCACTATGATATTTTTAAAATTAAATTTTCAACTGTTTATTGCTAGTATATAATATAAAATTGACTTTCATATATTATTCTGCAAACTTTCTAAACTTTTAATTATTTCTATTAGTTTTTTTGTAGATTCCATTGGATTTTCTACACAGAAAATTATGCTATCTTCAAATGAAGACAATTTTAGTTCTTTATTGCCATTCTAGATGCCTTTTGTTTCTTTTTCTTGCATGCTTTATTGGTAAAACCTCTAGTACAATGTTCAATAGAAATGATGAAAGCAGATGACCTTATCTCTTTTCATTCCCTTAGGGAAAAGCATTCAATCTTTTACAAATAAAAATAACCTTAAGTGTAGGGTTTCATTCATGCCCTTTATCAGGTTTAGGAAGTCCCATTCTGATTTTAGTTTGCTGACAGTTTTTATCAGGAATAAATGTTGAATTTTGTCAAATGTGTTTTCTGTATCTATTGAGAGCATCATGAATTGTTTTAATTAATATACATGTTGAATTATATTTATTGATTTTTCCAATGTTAAACAACCTGTATGTATGAAATAAACCTCACTTAGTTATAATAGATTTTCTTTCTGGCATCTTGTCAGATTCAATTTGTTAAATTTTGTTTAGAATTTTTATATCTATGTTCATGTGCAGGGGTCAAGACACTATGACCCACACGCTAAATTCAGTTTTTGGTTCATTTTTGTACGGTTTATGACCTTAAAAATGTTTTTACATACTAAAGTATTAAAAAAGAAGAGAATTAAAGAGAAGGAGAAAGACCAAGAGGAAGAGAAGAAAAGGAGGAGAAGGAGAACGAAGAAGAAAGAAGGAAAAGGTGAGGGAGAGGGAGAAAGAGAATAAGAGGAAGGAGGAGGAGAAGGAGGGAAGGGGAGGAGAGAAGAGGAGGAGAAGGGAAGAGAAGGAGGGAGAAGAGGAGAAGGGATAGGAGGAGGAGGGGGAAGAGGGAAGAGGAGGGAGAAGAGTAGGAAGGGGAGGAAGAGGAGGAACAGGAATAAGAAGAAGAAGGAGGAGGAGGAGGAAGAGGAGGAAGGGGGGAAGGAGGAAGAAGAGGAGAATGGGAAGACAATGGGGAGGGGCGGAGGATGGGGAGGGGAAAGAGATGATGATGACTGTACATGGCCTGCAAAACCTAAAATATTTGTTGGACCTTTTATGGAAAATGTTTGCTGACCACTGTTCATAAGGAATATTGGTTCATTGTTTTATTTTTATTCATTATCTTTGTCTTATTTTAGTATCAGGGTAATGCTGGCCTCATAGAATAAATCAAAAAATATTTTCATCTTTTCACTGTTTTTGGAAGAGTTGGTATAGAATTAATGTTATTTTTCCTTAAATGTTAATAGAATTCACCATGAAGCCTGGAGTTTTATTTGTGGGAATAATTTTAACTAAAATTTCAATTTCCTTAATACATAAATAACCATGTTAACTATTTTGTCTTGCATGAGCTTTGGCAGGTTGTGTCTTTAAAGGAATCTGTCTTTTTCATATGTCATTGAATTTATTGACATCATGTTTTTTTCACAATATTTTCTTCTTATTATTTTAATACTTGTAATACTATCACCTTTTTCATTCCCAACATTGGTAATTATTTCCCTGAGTAATCTGTATAGAGGTTTATTAATAGTATAGATCACAAAGAATCAGCATTTGGTGGCATTGATTTTGTCTATTGATTTCTTCTGTTTTCTATTTTATTAATTCTGCTTTGATCTTTGTTATCGTCTTTCTCCTGACTAGTTGGTTTTTAATTTGCTCTTTCATTTTTAGATTCATAGGAAAAAAGCTAATGTCATTGATTTGAAATCTTCCTTCTTTTCTATAACACGTAAACCTTTAGCATTATCAATTTCCTTTAATTTATATGTCACTGTTTTAGTGACATTCTGCAAACTCTGAGACATTTTTCATTTTCATTCAGACAAAAAATTTTTAAATATGCATTTGATTTCCTTTTTGATTGATGAATGTTTAGAAGCATGTTATTTAATTGATGGTTGTTTGGAGACTTTCTAAAGATCTTACTGTTATTGATTATTAATTTAATTCCATACTATGGAGCAATTCTCTGAACTCTTCCTTAAGTCTTTGAAAACAGCATCATTGGAGGAGACAAATTCCTCATATAGTAATCCGCAAGTCCTGGGAAAGTAGGCATGAAAGATATTGTAATACTTAATTTTTAACAGTACCTGGTCTGTACTCACCTGTTTTCACCAGTCATTTGCTCCAGCTGGAGGTTAGCCTTATCCCAATATTATCCTGTGGGCACCAAGCAATTTGAACTACTGCTTCTGATTTATGCTTCACAGTGGCAGTGAAGCAAGTGGCAATCATCTTGGTAATTTAGTGTACAGACAAAAACACAAGTTAAACTCTATCCCCCAAACCTATACACCCTCTTTCAATCCAGCTATCCGAGAGTGCCACCACTCCCTAATTTTCATTCCATACCACACACACACACACACACACACACACACACACACACACACACACAACATCCTCAGTGGTATCTTATGTTTTTATGTTAATTTCTTGGGCCTGTGCTTTTTTTCTCTCTCTCTAGTGTAGATTTTATTAGAGGGAGTTGGCAACCCCTTCTAGTTTCATCACCTTATAAGAAGATATAGCCCATAGCATGTAGGATTCCTCCACATATTCAAACAAATATTTCTAGAATGCCTACTATGTTTCAGGCACTCTTCTATATGCTGAGGATAGCAGAAGTGAACAAAACAGACAAAAGTCACTGTTCTCATGGAGTTTACACTCTAATGAGTGTAGATACATAATAAACAAGTAAAATCCAGTGTTTGTCAGATGGTGATGCTTGATGTGGGGACTGGAAATGGCAGTTCTGAATTATAAGGTAGTTGAGGAAAACACTATGATTTAGCATATGACTATGACTAGAAGCTTGAAGTTGGTGGTGAAGTGAGCCTCACACATATTGGATGGCCTTCCAAGCCAGAAGGTTCATGAGGGCAAAATCCTGAGCAGGACATTGATTGGTAATTTGAAGAACAGCAAGTAGACCTGTGCCTGAGCAGAGGAGTAACAAAAAAAGGTCAGAAAGATATTATTGAGAGGGCAGATTCCCTCACCTCCTTCAATTTCACCTCTTCCCCCACCTTCCAGATGGGAAGCAGGGTGAAGAAGGAAAAATAAAATGAAATAAAATACCCTGGGAAAATGACTTCCTCGTTAGTTCCCGGCATCTCTCCTATTTGTTAACCTTGAAAGAGCTGCAAATGAATGCTATCTCTGCCAGCTGGACCCCAGCACTGGATCACACTCACACAACTCCATGGACCAGGCTCCCTCCTGGAAACACCTCTGCCAACAAACAGCTTGTTGCTTTTGTCTTGTCTCTGTAAGCACCCCTCCCTTGCTGGTCCCACCCGTGCTGCATATGAATTAGCAAATCAATAAAGCCAAAAGATTGTAAGGTCAGACATCCAGCAAATGGACAATGACATAGTTCCACCGCAGTTTCCCCTTTAGAGTTGTAAGCCTATAAAAGGGGAGAGAAGTTGCAGCTCAGGGAGCTCGGTGAATGAGACTGTAGCCCCTCACAGCTCCCAGCCAAATAAAAAGCCACTTCCTTCCTCAGTTCAGTGTTCTTGAGGTTTGTTCCCCACTTCTCCTGCTATATTTTTGGTTCCCTGACCAGTCACGGCCCCACTACTGCCCCAGGTCCCAGACTTGGTGCCAGTTTACTCAAAGGGAAAAAATTTTTTTCTCCAAACTGAAGGTGAAAAGGAAATAAAGGGAGGATGACTATGCCTGCCAGACAGGTGGGTAGCAGTGCCACAGCTGTTAGGACCTGCAGTGATCTTAGCTGTCCATAAAACCTCCCACCTTGGTCAAGAAACCCTAAAAAAAATTGTTAGGCTGATATTTTTGCATCTCCCATTTATCTGCACTAGCAAAAACAGTGACACAATGGTGTATAACATGCAGACAGCACAATACCAAACAAGGACCTACAGCCCCACCAGGAATCCAGGCTTATGGGAGTGCTCCTTTTAAAGACTTGCAAGCAGATTTCACCAAGATGCCTAAGTGCAGAGGTAACCAATATCTGCTGGTTCTTGTATGTACTTACTCCAGGTGGGTAGAAGCCTACCCAACATGGACTGAGAAGACGAGTAAAGGGATTCGTGCTCTTTTGAAAGACATCATCCCTAGATTTGGACTGCCGTTGTGAGTAGGCTCAGACAACAGGCTTGCATTTGTAGCTAATCTGGTGCAAAGTACAGTGAGAATGCTAGGAATAAACTGGAAATTACATGCCACCTACTGGCCTCAGAATTCAGGCAAAGTGGAGCAAATACACCAAATTATAAAGAATAGCTTAGGGAAAGTGTGACAGGAGATGGGGTTAAAGTGGATACAGGTCCTTCCTATGGTTTTGTTTATGATTAGATGTACACCTTCTAAAAAAACTAGATATTCCCCTCTGAGATCCTGTATACTAGGTCTCCCCCCATTCACCGGGGATTCCCAGGGACTCACCAGGTATTAGGAGAAACTGAATTATGTCAGCAATTACAGGCCTTGGAAAAGGTGGCAGAGAAGGTGTATATATGGCTTAATGAAAGATGCCCTGTCAGCTTATTCTCCCCAGTTCACCCCTTCTCACCAGGTGACCAAGTTTGAATCAAGGACTGGAACGTGGCCTCCCTACAACCAAGGTAAAAAGGACCCCAAATGGTCATTCTAACAACTCCAACCACTGTGAAAGTCAAGGGAGTTGCTGTGTGGATCCATCACAACCATGTGAAACCAGAAGCACCAGACACCTGGGAAGCAAAGCCAAATCCCCAGAACCCATGTAAAATCACCTTAAGGAAAACCAAGACAACAAGCCCTGCTCCAGGCACACCTCGGAGGCTGACTGGTCTATGCACAGCCAAAACATGAGAACTGCCTCCATGGAACAAGTACTCCTTCTCTTTGGCCTATGGACTTGTATCTTTGCTACCCTGGTAAATGTAAATCCCCCATGTAATGATTGTTCCCAGTGCATACATAAGGTTCCTAAGGTAGAACAAAAGGTTACCACAATTCTCTTGTTCTACAGTTATCATAAATGTACTGGAACCCTCAAAGGAACTTGAATATATAATGCAACCCAGTACTGAGTGTTCAGCCTAGGAAACAACCAACCTAATGTATGTTATAACCCATCTGAACCAACCATGTCCACCATATTTGAAATAAGGCTAAGAACTGGTCCCTTCTTAGAGGATATAAGTAAAGTAATCACAAAGTTAAGAAAATAAAAAATACCTAAGCAGGTCACCATAAAATTCAATGCTTGTGCTGCTGTTAACAGTAACAAAAAAGGTCTAGGGTGTGGCTCTCTTGGTTGGGAAAGAAGCTATATGGCAGAGCATAAATACATCTGTCGTAACTGATGGCCATGCAGTGGTAGTTGTAACTACTGGTCATGTGTCATCTGGGCCACTTGGAAGAATAAAAATAACGCAGTCCATCTCCAAAAGGGGAGGAGAATTCCTCCTGCACCTCTGGCCATTGTAATCCATTAAAATTAACAATGACCAATCCTCTGGATCCTCATTGGAGGAAAGGGGAATCTGTAATAATGGTAATTGATGGAAAAGGACTGGACCCTGTGGTTAACATTCTAATTTGGGGAAATATCCAGAGGCAATCAACCTACCTGGTGTTTCAAACTTTTTATAATATATTAAATAAACCAGTTCCAGAATTCCTCCAGAAGGAAAGAAACTTGTTCTTTCAGTTAGCTGAGAATGTGGCCAAAACTATAAAAGTGCATTCTTGTTTTGTGTGGAGGAACTACTATGGGGGACTGGTGGCCATGGGAAGGACATGAGCTTATGCCTGCTGACCCTGTCCCTAATACAACCTATGTGCAAAAGGACCTCAGTAACAGCTTCTGGATCTTAAAAACCTCCATCATTGGACAATATTGTCTGGCCAGAATAGGAAGGTGTATAGCGGTCCCGGTGGGAAAGCTGGACTGTTTGGGACAAGTAAAACAGTCACTTGGTGGAGTTTAAATAAAACCGAAACCAACCCTTTCCAAGAGTTTCCCACCAACAAGCAGCCTGGACCCATCCATAACTCCACTGGGACTGGGTAGCGCCTCCTGGCTTGGACTGGATATGCAGGCACAGGGACTATACCAAACTGCCAGACCAGTGGATGGGCAGTTGTGTCCTTGGCACCATTAAGCCCCCTTTCTATTACCCATAAAGACTGGGGAGTTGTTAGGTTTTCCTCTCTATTCTTCACAATTCAAACAAAGCCTAGTTATAGGTGACTGGAAAGATAATGAATGGCCTCTTAAAGAATAATGCAATACTATAGGCCAGCCACATGGGCAAAGAATGGTTTGTGGGGCTGTCGCACTCCAATCTACATGCTTAATTGAATTATTCAATTGCAAGCTGTCCTAAAAATTCTGACCAACAAAATGGCCAGGCTCTAATCGCCCTGGCACAGCAGGAGACCAAAATAAGGAATGTCACCTACCAGAATAAACTGGCTTTAAATTACTTACTGGCTGCTGAAGGAGGGGTATGTGGAAAAATTAACTTAACTAACTGTTGACTGCAAATAGATAACCAGGATCAGGTGGTTTAAAATATTATAAGGGACATAACAAAATTGGCGCAAGTACCCGTACAGGTCTGGCATAGGTTCGACCCTGAATCAACGTTTGGAAATTGGTTTCCTGCTATAGGAAGGCTCAAGACCATTATCATAAGTATGTTACTATTAATAGGGGCATGCATATTGCTCCCCTGCTTAATGCCCTTGCTCCTTCAAGTAATGAAAGGATTTATTACCACCATGGTTCAAGAAAAAATGTCAGCACAGTCCTATTACATGAACCACTACCAATCTGTCTCACCAGAAAACCCCAACAGTGAGGCTGAATGTAAGTGTGAGAATTCTCACAAAAAAGGGGGGGTAAGTAAAAGTCTCAAAGTGGGAATGAGAGGGGAGACCCCTTCACCTCCTTCAATTTCACCTCTCCCCACCCCTTCCAGATGGGAAGGAGGGTGAAGAAGCAAAAATAAAATAAAATAAAATAAAATACCAAAGAGCTAGGAAAATGACTCCTTCTTTAGTTCCCAGCATCTCTGCTGTCTGTTAACCTTGAAAGAGCTGCAAAGGAATGTTATCTCTGTCAGCTGGATGGCTGGATCCCGGCACTGGTTCACGCCCCCATGTCTCCACAGATGAGGCTCCCTCCTGGAAACACCTCTGCCAACAAACAGCTTGTTGTTTTTGTCTTGTCTCTGTAAGCCCCCCTCCCGGCATATGAATTAGCAAATCAGTAAATCCAAAAGATTGCAAGGTTGGACATCCAGCAAAAGGACAATGACATAGTTCCACCTCAGTTTCCCCTTTAGCATTGTAAGCCTATAAAAGGGGAGAGAAGATGCAGCTCGGGGAGCTTGGTGAATGAGGCTGTAGCCCTCCACAGCTCCTGGCCAAATAAAAAGCCATTGCTTTCCTTAGTTTAGTGTTCAAGAGGTTTGTTCCCTGCCGCCCCTGCTACATTTTCATGCAGGGTCATTGGACAGACTTTGCATTTAACTTTGAGAGATGTGGGAACTCACTAGAGGGTTTTGAGTGGAAAAGTGACATAATGTTCACTTTTAAGAATAGGATTGAGGGTTGAGCAAGAGCACTTGTAAAAAGACTAATTAGGAATCTATTGCAATAACCCCAGTGAGGTATATGATTGTGACTGGTACAAGAAGTATTGAGAAACAGTCAAATTCTGGATGCTGATAAGCTTTGCTCATAGCTTGAACGTGTGGGTGACATGCAAGAAAGAGAGAGGGGTCATCAATAAATCTAAAATGTCTGGCTCATAAAAACAGACAGATTGACAAGACAGAGGTGCAAGTTTGGGACAAGGAGTAGATTCATTCAATTTGTAATGTGCTAAGCTTGTGTTGTCTATACATGATCAGCATGGAGACGCGAGAGAGGAAGCTCACGTAAGAGCCTGGAAGTTGAGGAAGAAATCAGGCTTTAGCTATAAACCTGTGTTGTCAACATCTAGATGGCATTTAATGCACTGAGTCTGGAAGAGATTACCTAGAGAGCGAATTTAGGTCAAGGAAGAACAGTTCTGGGACACTCCAACATTTAGAGATCAAGGAGTTAGGACACAGCAAAGAAGATTGAGGTGAAACAGCTGATGAGGTTGGAAGAGAGTCTGGATACAAAGTGAGGAAAATGTTTCAAGGAAAAGAGACTGATCACATCAAATGTTACTGAGAGAACTCAGATAAGCTAAAGACTAAGAATCCACTATTGGATTTTGCAGTATGGAAGTTGTTGGTAATCTTAACTAGAGCAAGTTAATGCCCTGAGTCTTTGTTATTTGCCTAACTTGTTCTGTTAACAAGGTAGAGATGTTTTAATTTACAATTGTACTTGTGTCAATTTACCCTTTTGCTGCCAATCATTTTTCCCCCCACTGGC